TCACGCTTTTAGCACACGATTTATCCTCAAAAAAATACTTTAAAAAATCATAACTTTTTAAAACGCGTGGGTACCCCCAGTTTTTTCCCCTCCAAGATATAAGAGAAATATTCAGATAATTTTTTATACCAGAATTTCAAAAATGAAAATGGTTTTGGATGCAAATGTAATCAAAAATGTAGTATCCCTTCAGAACCATACTGTACACTTTTGAGGGAAAATTTTGTTTTAAAAAATGGTTTTTTATATGATACAAACAAGTTTATATATTTGATATAAAGAACACAACTTGTTGTTTATTTGAAACAATTTTCAGATAAAATCTATCAAAACAACTCAGAAATATGATTTTTTTCCCTTGCGTAAAAAAGTGCTTACGACATCGGTGCTTAACGTCAATTATCTCGCTTAGATGCGTGGGTACCCCCAATTTTTTTTCCGGATTCCAGTGGCCTCTTGGGTGATTTAGATGACTGGCACAATATGAAAAAAATAAAAATGGTTCGCAATTACCATCCTTTTAAATACTAGCCATGATCGATAAGAGGACAGACACATATATTAAATGCGATGACGTGCTCTTTATTTGTCACTTTGTTATTCATCTTTCACAGTAAGTCCTAATGTTTACTTTTCAAAGTAATCCCTTTTACTTGTAAACATCTTAAGATTTAATCTACATGATCAGGACGGTTCATGGCTAAAATCAGTTTGTGTGATTTCTTATCAATTGTGATTCCTTTATAGAAGTCGTCTGGCTCAGAGGGACCGATATTGACACACAAAGTAGTATTATCAATGCCAAAGCTATTAGTCCAATTATAGCAAACTTCTTGGTACAACCACCACACATTGGTTCTGAGTGTGTCCAGGCATCTCTTCTTGGTGTGTTCCCTGTACGACAACATCCTAAGAACGCCATTTAATGTGGCTAGATTACAGGAGCTGCTGCTGTGAAACAAATTTAAAATGTTAACATAGTTTTCAGAAAGCAGACCTTATTTCTTCATAAACAGATTGTATTATTCAAAGTAAAGCTATTTATATATATGCTTTATCCAACTATATCCAACATAAACAATGAAGCTTGCTTTCCACTTTTTTGACTTCGGAATACTGATGACTGAATTATTCGAGTTTTGGAATATGGCCGTTTCGAAAGTTTCGAAAGTCAATCGGGTTTCTTTTTCTTACTACAAACAAGAAAAAAATATGGAAAAACTTTTAACCACGACTGAAATTAATGAATCAACTCATAAAAAGCTTAAAAAAGTTGTAATGGCTTGAAGAAGTAAGAAAAAAAGTAATACATTTCGTAATGATATAACGCATAGTGATAACTGGAAGGACTCGGTAAAGCCAATCTTGTTAGGATCTCTAGATACGCTGTAAGTTTAACTAGCATATTTTCCCAAATGGCTTGGAGTGCTGAATTAAGTCCATAAAAGGTCTGTTTGTATTTACCTTGGTTTTGCATCAGTTTTCAAACTAAAACAACGATCAACACACAGATACCAGGATCAATAAGCGAACCTTTTCAAACTTCTACCAACTAAAAGACTGTCTGCGCATGTCAGTCTATTTTCAACACAGGAAGCCCAGTAAATAAAATTATTTAATAAAGAGAAAATATTTAAACATGGATAAATAATATCATCCATGAGAAGAGATATCTTATAAACAATTACTGGATGAGGTTTTGATAATATCCGGAATCATTAATGTCGAGCTAAGTGTAAAGATAAGATAACATTTGCCGAGACATTGATAATATATCAGTTTCGTTCCAAATAACCGCTGTGTATCTTGATTACAGACTCATTTACACAGGGTTAGCCTCGATGTTGTGCTGAACCGATATTCAAGTGTGCAAGTCAGGGTCTGCCGAGCTTCAAAGTGTTTAATTTGTTGACGTTGTGCATTTACCGTTGGTATTTGTGAATATTAAACACTGATACGAGGCTAACCCTGAGTAAATGAGTCTGTAATCAAGGAACACAGCGGTAATTTGGGATCCGAAACTTTTCTATTCCGGATATCATCAAAACCAAATGCAGGCTCGTTTCTGCCGTAACTGCCTACAGATAACTATTGACCGTTGAAAAATCGCTGGCGCATGCTGATAGTTATATGATAATTATCTGTAGGTTCTCGACCAATAAAAATTCAAATAGTGAGTGCAATGTATAATAGTGCAACAAAAAGGAGCAGTTTTATCGAAGGAACTCACTGACAAATTTGTTGTTTTTGTCTGTTGAAAAACTTACTTTGCTGGTCGGTATCTCTTGTCTACCAAAGAATGTTTTTCAGTTATACGAAATAAAAAATAATTTGAACATTTGTCCTATAATTTCGACAGTCCATTTTTCTTATTCGGTGCATAGATTTGGCATTTGTACACCCTCGTCTGATTGTAAATCGTTTGAAAAAGTCAACTAATTTAGATAATGTAAGGCATTTTTTAAAGTCAAAATCGATAAATTTTTGCTTTGTCTATAATATTCAGCTATAACAATCCACATATATATTGCTGCCAAATTGTTTGTTATTTTGATTTTCGTTTTCAAAAAATGTTTTGTTTTCAGCATAAATACAGAAACATGTCCAAAATAAGTCCTAAAACTATTGTATTTGACTATTTCTACGATATGAAACCAGAAAACAAGAGATCAAAACAACCTCCAAGATTCTACAAGCCATTAAAAACACTGCTATTACCGGAAGTGATGTCCATGGCCATTGATAGCAGCATGGCTGCGTAGAGTGCCGACTAAATAGAAATTCTGTGAAAATATAATCAGCTTAGAACTTGAGAAAACAATTAAAAGAAGTAAATTAATTTTAAAAAATACCTCAACTCACTCGCAAAAACTGACGGAAAACCGGCACAATTATTATTATTTGTTTATTAATTTATTCACATTCAGGCAGAGTCAGTACAACATAACAGCTTAGTCATAAAAGAATCAATATTTTCCCAAGTCAAGCTGTAATGGTTCTAATGAGAACTTGTCTCATTTGTCAGGCTGAAGTGATTGGTGCTTATATATTGGGTGATTTATCGACTAAGTTTCAACCTGGTGGTTCTTAACCATTTGTTATTATATTCGGGTTTTACTGTATTTGCGGGGCATTCTCTTGTAGTACGTTTTTTTAATTCTGAATATTTCGATATGCTTTTGACGAGAAACATGTTATATTGTGTTATATCATCCAACATGGCGGCCTCTTTATTTCGTTATTTTTGCACACCAACTGAGTTACTCAAACTCATAAGGATGAAATACAAACTCAATAATAACAAGGTCTAATGCAAAATATATTATCAGAAATAACTCACAATATAAAAACTTCACAGAGTAGACTTTCGCTTTCGCGAAGAATTCGGCTTCTTAGGAAACGCCTTTTCCGTAATACAGCTTGAATTCTGTCATTCTACCCGCTGGCCTAGTCTGTAGGAGCAGCACTTCCCTTAGTTTCAACATGTAGGCATACGACGGAAAGCCGGAATCTTGAGTGTGTAGGTGAGAGCATATGCCAATTTTCAACAATTGAAACAAGAATCCTACAACTTAAACCATAGTTAGCCTCTATTAACTATGCTCAAACAAAAGATGTCCATGTGCGACTGACAAACTTTGAAGTCAACATATAAAAAAAACCGTAAAGAAATGATGAGTGCTGCCTTGAAGTCATATTCAATTTGGGTTAAACGTAATACAAGGATAATCTTAATCTCTCTCTCTCTCTCTCTCTCTC